AAAAAAAAAAAAAAAAAAAAAAAAAAAAAAAAAAAAAAAAAAAAAAAAAAAAAAAATGTATGATATATTCCCTAACTATCAGATGTACTTTGGAAAAAAAATGTAAATCCATATATTATAAGATATTTATGCTCTTCAGTTTTATATATGAATTAAAACGATGAAATAACGAATAAAAAATTTAACAGTTACATAAACTTTCTTCGTCAGTACGTCACAAGTTTTGACGTGCTTTTAACTATTTCTCTAGTGTTATTTTTAATATAGTAACACAAGTAATAATTTTCATCAGTGGTGTGCACTTCTGCAGGGCAATTGACGATTACTAAGCCTTAGGCCACTTGTCTAATGCGCATTAGTGGCGGACGCTATTGCTGTACTTGGGGTTTACAAAATGATCAAAGGAAAAAAATCACCCAAAGTAAAAACAGAAATTTTCTAAATGTAATGAATGTTCGTTTCTTGTATGTAACAATGTAGTCTTCACTCACATGATTATAACTGATGGTTTGTTCCGTTTTTTATGCGTTGTTACATCAGTTACTACTCTGAAAACCACAAATTGAAGTATTATTAAAAATTTCTCAATAAAGCAACGTTGTTGTTATCATACTACTTCTTTATTATTTCATACTCTAATTTTTAGCTTTGTTGAAACGACTGTCGTCGAAAAAAACGTATTTTAAAATATACACTTTTGAATTTTGTAGTTTAGAAGCTTCGAGATAACGTAGGCTACATACAGTAATCTTATCATTAAAAATTATTTTCGAATGCTTACTTAATGGTCCAGTCATTATGGCTCTATCGTATGAACATTAAATGTACAGTTCGTAGTGCCGTCTTTATAGATTTCAAGGCCCTAAGACACTCTTCTCCATGAATATTCTTAAACCCACATAAACTGAGGAACAAGTAGTATATATACAACTACTGAAATTTTTGTCCAAACCATGCAATTAAAAATTCATTCTTAAGCGAAATTGCTTTAGAAACTCTGCGAATATGAGTAAACATTCATATTAGGGATTCCCTCTAATTCAGTTTTGATGATTTCAGTTTTTTCAAGAGTACCGCGTGTGTACACCTATCAAAATAATGAAATTGCTGAATTTTAAAACATTAAATTGAATTTTTTATGTCATATAAAGAGAATCTGCTAAAACCGTTATCTGATACCAGATGATCAGCTAGAAGTTATGCTCTCACTTCCCTTCGTGCAGTTATTGCAATATTTCAAAATCTCTTTTGCTATTTTCGAGTGATACAACACAATCAAGTGAGATTAGACTCGAATCTTGAAGTTTATTTGAGAAATTTACTCAATTTGATAATATTTTTCTCACCATTTTTTGGGACGATATTTTTTTAAAATCAATTCAACTAACAGAACATTTCAAAAAGAGTCAGTAGACTTGGCTGTAGTTGTTAACTTGCTTGTTTCTCTTAAGAAATAACTTCACAATTTGAGAGATAAATTTTATGATTATACCAGAAAAATGAAAGAATTCATTAACGATCGTCAGGAAAAATTATTAACTCAGTGATAATTGCTTCGTACACAAGAATAAAAAAAGAATTCTTAGTTTCTACTTTCCCAAATATTGAAATATGTTTTTCAATATTCTTATATATAATGGTAACAAACTGCACTGGTGAGAGATCTTTTTTAGCACTAAAATTTCTTAAAGATGAGCACAGAATACAATGCTCGATAAAAGATTGAATAATTTGGCACTAATGTTTATCGAATCCGATCTTAGTAAGAACATCGACTTTGAAATCAGTGCCCCTGATTTTGCATTTAAAAAATCAAGAAAATAATTGTAAATTACTGTACATTTTTTACTAAGGTAAAGGTACTAGTTACTGGCTGCGACCAGTACCTGGCCACCAACACCATTTCATAAATTATAAGAGTTAACTTTAATACTAATCCGTGACAGGATAACATTAAAACTTATAAATCATTCATTTTAAAATGCAATAATGTTAGTTTTCTTAGTTCAAGAAAAAAAATTTTGAAAAATGCCGGCTAGGTACTTGATCACTTGTACATAAAGTGTGTACATAACTTCACTTTTGGCGAGCACTAGTTGCCAAGCACCTCAAGTTATGTACGGGTTTAGCATGGGGTGGCCAGTTACTGGCTCCTAAATTATGGCGACTGAAGCAACCTTTTTTTCAGTGGCCATGTACTAAAGCATCTGACATACTCAGATGATTGTAAATAATTATTGTCTACGGTCGGATATACGACTTCTATTTATCGTATGGTTTAAAATAGATTCATAGCTTTCAAATGATACCTTACGAAAGATAAAACTTTAAAAGCCGTTTAAAATATATGATGTTCTTTTAATAATAGCTACTAAGTGGCCAGTAACAAGTACTTTTACCTTACTATAAAAGTTTCTATTTTAGGTATTGTTTACTTGAAAAAAATTAAATTTATTCTTTCAGACTCCCGGAAGTCTCCAACAAAATCTTCCTCGAGACCTCCGAGACTCCCCAAAAAGTCTCGTAGGTCTCGAAAACTTATTCAGTGATTAGCGAAAAACTTGAACTGTGGTCACATACATTTATACGTGGACTGAAAAAAAGCTCACAGTTATACGGGCTTAAGCTTTTTTTTGGTATGCATTACCAGTATTTTTACAATTTCTGTGACCATAGTCTTAGGCCGCATTCTGACGGAGATAGTAGTCCATGTGTTGAATGGTGTGTCATTGCGTTACTAAGTTGTGTATAGCTTATATTAAATCGTGCGAGTAAGAGAAACGTTAGAAGATTTAGTCTTTCATGCACTTTTTTCTCGCTTCTAAATGTCTCATGGGCCTTATACATGACGAAATGAAGCATTGATACATCATGTAACCCATGGTCTACCAATTTTGCCGAACATATCTTACTCCCTCTCACATGTTTAAACGTTCTATCGATTGTCATTCCATCAGATCGCGGCCTAAGACTGTGGTCACAAAAATTGCAAAAATCCATGTAATGCGAACCGAAAAAAGCTTAAATCCGTATGACTGTATCGTGTGAGCTTTTTTGCAATCCACGTACACATGTATGTGACTGCAGTTCAAGTTTTTCGCTAATCACTGAAGGAATTCGAAAATCTCGAAAATATTCCTCGGGACCTTCGAGACTCAAAAAAGTATCGTATTTGGGACAGCTAGCCGTTTACACGCAAATTCAATAAGAGCAAAAAATGAAGAAATGATAGAAATAGGAGGAATATCAGCGGGAATGAGCAGAATAGCTTGAAATGTCCTTTTTTAAAAATATTAGTTAAGTTTAGTCTAGCACATTAATATATTTTAAACTATTTGTCTCTTCAGTTCCGTTGACACTCCTCCCATTTTCATCATTCCTCTATTCTTTGTCTAATCGCATTAGCATGTAAGAGACCGTTGGCGATTGTCATCATCGGGAGTCTTTACTGTACAATACATGAATTAAGCAATGATAGACTCGGGAAAATAGTTAAGATTATTGTGAAAAAAGTCATCCATACGACGATTAACAAATATAATCTATTTATAACGCTTTGTTCGCTTTGTTCGTCGTTAATAGTGTATATAGCTTGTGGTTTAAAAAATATAACGAATACATGATACACACTCATTTATGTATGAGTAGCGTTATATGATAAGAAAAAATTTACAGCTAGAATTCTACTCATGTATGTCCATAAGTAATCAGCACTCCTGTTGGTACGTGTATATATATGCATGCGCGTGTGTTCGCGTCTTGAACGTGTTGCCATTATCGGGAGCCCGAGCAAGAGGGGGGGGGGGAAGCTTCTTTGGCTGTGACGAGACAAATACCAGAAAAATATACGTTGCAGAGATAATCAGCGCAGGTGTGTTTCACAATTAAAAAAAATGAAACTTTCTCGAAAACTATCCAACAAGATATAAGTCCACCAATATGGCTGTCGCTCCTGTTGAGCCTGTTTTGAAAATAATATTTCAAATTAATAGTGAATAAAATGACTACGAAGTAACTTATAAATTTATTGCATAAATCTATTTTTTTCTATTTTTTTAGATACATAACAATTTTTTGTAATCTCTGGTTTTTGTCAGATGTATTTATACTTACCCCACTCATCCAAAGTTAAAGAACTCGCCTTTTTAAACATAATTTTGAAGCTATGCTTTAGCAAAAAACTAAATATTATTTTAGCACAACAGTAAGAATTTTGTGAATATTATTTTATTTTCCATAAAATTTTCAACCTTTACTTTATAAAAATATATCAAAAAACCCAAAAAATGAAGTAATACCAACCAATACCTCTCTGTGTGCTGCGATGATTTTTTTGTTACTTAGGAAACCTGTAAAAATTGTTATTTCCTGTCTATCTTGCTTTCTCTTCAAGATACCGCGTATTTTTTTTATATTTGGTGGTTATGAAAACGCATGGCAATAATAACTATTTTTGAATTATTGAAATTATTTACTAAATGCGATATAATTATTTTTTTAAACGTTAAAAGAAGTTTTTCTTCTATTTTTATTGGACTTTTTCAATTGGAATGTAGCAACACCTGTTTACCTGTGCATATTGTGAGCATAGCGACCTTTTTTCCATTGGAAAACTCTGAGAAATTTTAATGTTTTGCCATGATTTTCTTTCATAAATATGACGTACTTTTAAATATTTTGAGGTTCAGTCATAATAGCGACTCGTTGAATAAATATTTGGCATGTCCATCGATGTGCCCAGTATGAAGAGTTTTGTTGGTACTTAATTATTGTATTAAAATAATGAAATACTTAGTCTTTTCATATGTATTAAAAATATGCGCAGTCACACGTCACATATGAGTTAATCCTCAAACACACATCTATAATACATACGAACACACACCACACACACACACACACACACACACATACACACACACACACACTAAAGACATGGTCTTTGTTCTCGATAATCAAAAATTTTTTTGTAATAAAGAGGAGAGAGAGAGGGATAGAAAAAAAAGATCGCCGAGCTGAGATGGACTAAGCCGATGAACCACGAGTGGGGCTTTGCCACGCCACTAGTTGGCCTTCTACTACATCATTGTACCATCAGTATCTACCTGGAGTTTTATAGGTATAGACGTTGTCGTTCTACTGGTGCAAAGTTGATCTTCAGCCCTCGCAGAGCACGGTTCTGCAAGTGGAACGCAACGTGTCGTACTGTGTATTTTGTACTATATTTTTTTCTCTTTTGTGGATTTCAACGCGAGTTAAATTGGCCGAAACAAGACTCTTGTATTTTTAACATATTATCAAATTTAGATTTTTCCGACAAAGGATTTTGAGGCTAAGTTTTTCTCCCTTATTCTATTGAAATTTTTTTCTTCTTCTCAATTTTTGTTGATTTTAGTTTTTAAATTCATATTCTACCAATAAAACTCTCAGTTCGACATCTATTGTACTTATCATTTATCTAACTTTTGGTCTAGACTAGTGTCCAAGATATAGTATATGGAATTTGATACAGTTTTATTACTAACATTATATTTTAGTAATTAGAAATCACGCGTTCTTTGTTCCTATTGCTAAATAACTTTTTTGTGATAAAGAGAAGGAGAGAGAGAGGGTTAGAAAAAAAAAGATCGGCGAGCTGAGACGGACGAAGCCGATGAACCACGAGTGGGGCTTTGCCACGCCACTAGTCGGCCTTCTACTACGCCATTGTACCATCAGTATCTACCTGGAGTTTCATAGGTATAGACGTTGTCGTACTACTGGTGCAAAGTTAATCTTCAGCCCTCGCAGAGCACGGTTCTGCAAGTGAAACGCAACGTGTCGTACTGTGTATTTTGTACTATATTTTTTTCTCTTTTGTGGATTTCAACGCGAGTTAAATTGGCCGAAACAAGACTCTTGTATTTTTAACATATCATCAAATTTAGATTTTTCCGAGAAAAGATTTAGAGGCTAAGTTTCTCTCCCTTATTCTATTGAAATTTTTTTCTTCTTTATTTATGTCGATTT